GATACCTCCAACACCAATAATTCTTATTACTCTAAGAGCAGAAAAAAAAAAATTCACATTCATCTCATTAAAATGGCATAGAATATTGTTCGATATCCATTTTCAAGCAATAAATGAATAGATTTCAGTGGGATTTTGCAAAACTCTTGGCCTCCAGAAGTGGAGAATCAATCACATTTATTCTTAATCAAGCCAAAAGGTCAACTCATTCTACTAGATGAAAAGTGATGTTAAAACTCAGCTGGAAATCTAAGCAAATAGAGGGGAGGAGCAAATCTAATCAGTAGCCCAGGCATAAAACTGGACTGACAAGTGACGTAAGATGCAGACACAAGCTGAAGGTTAAAACATACAAACTGTCAAGTTTTCAAAGCAGGTTGATCTGGTCTAGGGAAGAGAAGACTTCCTCTGGCAGATTCAAGCAAAAAGCCAGTGTGATGCAGCATCAGGGAAACAATGAATGTAAAGGGTTCTTTATATAAGTAAAGGATGGTCCAGACAGAAAGAAAAGCTGGAATTTAAAATGAAATAGGTGAGAAGTTTAAAAAAAATCTCAAAGCCATCAACTACTGGGAAAATTATGAATGCAATTAGGTATTCATTGAATATATTTATTATATGTATTTTCCCTCTTTTATAGTTTATGTGACAAATATTGATCCCAAAAAATCCTTTAGTCTTCTTAAACTCTCACTGTGGGATCTAAATAGAGAAAACTAATTAATTACCCAACACCCTTTAGTTGAACTTCCCAGGTAAGGACACTCATGCCTGGAATAAAGAAGCAAAAGATTTCTGGGATACAGAAGTGTGTAGAAATGGAATGTTGAATTGTTTACTGTTGCAGAACAGAGAGTAATGACTCCTTTGGCTGATACCACCCAAATGCCCACTCAAGCTAGCCTCATGGCCCAATAATTTGTGCCATCCCTTTGAAGGAAGGCTCTGTCTCAGAAAAGATGGTCTGATTCTCTGATGAATGTGAGATAGAGAAGAAAGTATCGTGGATGAAATACCCTGACTAGACTGTTT